CTCCATCCCCGCTCTCCACGCCCCCCCGCTCGTAGCGCCGCTCTCGGCGCTCAAAGAAAGCCAGCCCTGCTACGGTGCAAAAACCACTTGCCCGGAACTACATGTCCCGGGCGTCGGGCAATACGAATTCCACACCCCTGCGCGGGCCAACTTACAAGGTCCGGCGGGCCGGATGCGGCCCGCGGGCCTTGTGTTTGCCACCCCTGATTTAGACCTTTTTTAAAGGTTCGATTTTGGATTCTGAACCTGCAGAAAAATCTGTGCTGACACCAACTCCATGCTTGCAGTACCTAGGTCTTATTCTGCAAGCAGCTGATTCCAGATTTTTTTTTCTTCTGCAAAAAATATTCCAAAAACTTCACTCTCTGATTCGAAATCCTCAAGTATCCAACCCTGGAGGTAGGGAAATCCCTTCTTTCCTGATTTATTGGAAGATTAATTTATGACCTAACAGTTGCCAGGAGGAGTCCTAGACACCTTGTCTGTGCAGGGGACTTTGTCATTGGAAGAAACTAGGGATGTGCCGATACCATATACTGAGCATTTGGGTGAGTACTCGCCCAATTGCTCCAATACTTACCCCGATACCGGAATTACCTGCCAGAGGTCTCTCAAACCGGCATTGCTTCAAAGGAGCATGAAGCCGGCTTCCCGGCCAATCGGGAAGCCAGGCTAGCCTGCAGTGTTGCGAGGGAGAGTAAATCCGGCTTCTGTGGCAATTTGGAACCTGGCTTCTTGATTAGCCAGGAAGCTGCCTCCCACCTCAGGACGCTGTTATCGGCTCCCAGATTCAGTATGTGCATTTAACCATTAGGGAACCAGAAGTCTTTTGGTGGCAAGAGTAGAAAAACTAATTCAAATTTCAATTTTACAGTTTGCCTGTGTCAAACTGTATTTGTATTCTTAAAGGTGAACTATGAGGCGAGTGAAAATCACTCAGCCTCGTAGTTCTAGCCGACCTGTGACAATGAAACTAGATCATATCCTCGCTCACTTCTCGATCCTGTCCCTGCAGATAGCCGTGACTGTCACTCACGGCTCCCTGCAGTGATTCCCCCCCTCCCCTGTCCGATCCCCAAGCGCTGACTGGCGGAACGGACGGGGGGAGGGTACAGCTGACTTTGCCTCTAGATAGGCAGAGCCCGCTGTCACTCATGCAGCTGGGTGCATCCAGACAGCATTGTCGGGATCCGTTCCGGCTGCGGCGTCTCAGTATACTGCAAGCTGGAGCTCGCTATATACTGAGCTTTGGGTGACAGGAGGACGCTAGTTTGTGTCCTCCCGTTACCCTTAGGAGAACTATGGGGAAAATCCCTGACCCCATAGTTCTCCTTTTCAAGTCCCTCAATAGAGTCCACAAAAAGGACCTTAAAAACAAAAATCCCATGTTTTTCCGATTTTCAGTTTGCAACTTTGTATTGGTTATACTCGACGGACATGTCTGTCGTCCGTCCTTTTTTTTTGACTGACCAACTGTGTAGCTACACAACTTGATTCCTTGAATGATGAAATAGTGGATATTCCTGTGTTGCAAGCTCTATAATAGCACATTTGTTGTGATTAATTATACAAATTGTATCACTGAATTTGTGCACTAGTAATTGTTGCTACATACTACCTACTTAGAGGCATTTTATAGAATCTGTTTTATTGGTTATCAACCATAAGTGTTCCACCATTAACCCCCTGTGACATTATTTGTAAAATGGAATTTAATTACAAGTCCTAATTTTAGGTTAGTGCTAAATATTCCCTCCCAAGAGATCTCTCTCTATTTTGTTGTCAATGACATGGTTTTAAAGCTTAGTGTCTGGGTTTTATTTTTTCCCTGTGCTCATAATTATCTGATCTCTAGTTAACTTTTTTTTTTTTGTCATCTCATTAGTGTAATTTTTCATGTTATGATTAGTGAACAGTATGTTCCTGGATAATGTCAGATTGTAGGACATATAATTAAGATAATTTACAGTGTTCACCAACCACATTCGCATGGCATGTATAGATAATTTTACTAAAAAAAAAAAGTCACAAATAAAATGAACACCTTTTTTTAATAAGCAATTTAACCTTTAGCAAGATGGTCATAGTTGAAAAGTAAAAACCTTCCTCTTAACCACCCTTTATTTTTTTTTTTGTTGGGTTTACTTTTAGGAATCCATAAGCTTAAAGCCAGCTATTCGATTCCAAGGCAGTCAAGGGGTAAGTTTTTATGGTTATGTTGAATGAATGATTTACTGAATAGATTGAATTTAAATGATGCTTCCACCATTTATTGTTGTGGTACAATTTTACCATTTGCCAAAGATTACCCAAGCACAAAAACATTAAATGATTAGCATCTATTCCTTTTATGTTTTCAATACCCCACCGCCCCCCACATCCTTAGTTATATCAGTAGGACAGCTATAGCTTTGTTTTATTGTGGTCAAATTTGTCCACCACTGGCCGCACCTGCGCAGTTAGCCTTCAGACTGGGGGTTGTAAATTGCAGCATATGCCTCCATAATTGTTGACGACTTTGTCCCTATTGGAATGATCCCAAAGTTCCGCCAGCAATATCTAAAAAAAAAATGCAGTACACGTGTTGGCTTTGGTTGACTTAATGCATCCTATTTATGTGTACAAAACATAGGGGCTGATTTATAAGCCAGGGCTGAAACGACTAATCGACAAAGTCGATAATGAACATCGTTGCCAATGGTCTTTCATTTTCAATTAGTTGGTCAATTTAGTTTGGCTGGTTATCACATCCTCCACCTCCCTGCTGCCTGCAGACACACCCACACAACTCCTAGACTCACCCCGAGCTCGTATGCGTGTTGACAGGCTGGGCCGTCCCAGGGAAAAGAGTTGGAGTTACAGTGTAGCCGCATACTGCCCAGCATTCAGGTGAGATGCCAGGGAGCTGGGGGGCACACTGGCCGGTGCCCAGGAACTATAGTGTGCACTGAACAGAGCGTGGGGATCTTGTGTGAGCAGGGAGCTTCTGAATTTGGGTGCTGCAGCAATCTAAGCATAAAAAGTATATTTATTGATGAGTTGAACATGATGGCACATAAACGATTATATATATCTATACATTGATATATCTCATTCTAGATTTAGAGATAGATTATATAAACAATATGGATTGTTGCAGAAAATAAGCCTTAAAATATTTGTTTGCCTGTTTTTTTAATGTACCGTTATAGATGACCAGGGCATTTCATAGTATTGCATCTATACTTGGCTTTATTTTTATCTAACATTATGAATAGTTAAATATGTGCTGTTTAATGTTTTCCTTGGTCCCCTGTTTTTTTTTTTTTTTTGCTGAACTTTTTCTTTCACCTCACCACAGCAAATAACAATTCCTCGGCCAGAGTGCCCCACAGAAGTGCGGACTTTCACTTTCTACCTATCAAATGTAGGCAGAGATAGCCCTCAAGGGAGCTTTGAATGCATTCAGCAGTACACTCAAAGGTGAGCTCTAGTCTATCCACATTGATGTGTGTTGTGGTGTTCTTTTTTTGTATACTCAAAATTTAGAAGTTTATTTTCTAATCTCAAAACCTTAGGTGTCTGCACATACCCGCCAATGTCTTTTAAAAGCGCCCCCAGTACTACAAAACTTATATATGCAAATGATAGCCTTGATTCTTTAATTCAAACACTGGCAGATGCTCTTTTACCCTGTTTCCCCAAAAATAAGACCTACCCCTAAAATAAGACCTAGTACTATTTTGGGGAATTGCTAAAATATAAGACCTACCCCAAAAATAAGACCTAGTTGTGACCATTCCCAGGGCCGGTGGTGGCATAAGGGGGAACTTGAAGAGCCGCGGGAGAGGCAGGAGAGAATCAGCGGTGCCAACGAAGCCAGTTCTAGAGGAAGCAAGTCGGCACCGGAGGGAGCAGAACCGTATAAGCCGATGCCTCCTCTATAGCGCCGACTCCTGTCACAGGCGGAGTGATACCAAATGCACTCCATCTGTGAGGAATCAATAGTGAAAGTGCGCTTCATTCTAGCCAGCGATTGGTTAGAAAATTGCTCTTGGAAAGGTACGGCACCCCTGATTGCCCTGATCACCATATTTTTGTACATTAATACATATAGACTGTTGTACATGAATAAGTGTGGATTGTTGTACATTAAAAAGAAAAAAAAAGAAAAAATAAGACCTACCCCGAAAATAAGACCTAGTGTGTTTTTTTGAGCCAAAAATAATATAAGACAGTGTCTTATTTTCGGGGAAACACGGTAAGTCTAGCAGTTGGTTGGTTATTAACCTGCTCCTAAAGATTGAGCCCCTCATCCAGACTGTGATTTGGGAGTCCTGCATCAAGAACCTACAAATTCCTGCAGCAGGGATCCCAACTCATTTAGATGTGGCTGGTCATTAACCTAAACGGGTGACAGCAGCTGCATCAAAATGGGAGATTTGGGGATCCCAAAGCCCATAGTGCGAATGAGGGCGAAGAAGCAATAGCTAGATGCAGGAGGGGATGAGCCAGCTCAACTTCATGAGCAAGCCCCAAGTTTTAGATGTTTAAAGGTGTATATTTATGTACAGCTGGGTAAAAAAGCATGCACACCCTTTTTAAATTCTATATTATTATTCTATGCATCAAATTCTATATTATATACTATGCATCAACACAAAAAAATCTGGTCCTTGGCAGGTCTTGAATTTGGTAAATATAACCTCAGATGAACAACACCACATGACTTATTACACTGTCCTCATTTTATTTTACATACTTAAAGCCAAAATGGAGAAGTCATGTGTGGAAAAAAGTACACCCATAATGCTTCCATAGGACTTAAGAGGTTAAGTAGCAGGAAGGTGCTGCTTTTCAAATGGCCTTAATTAATGTGACCTCTATAAAAGTGTGACCTCTATAAAAGCCAGTTTTAGCAGTTTGCTGGTCTAGAGCATTCAGGTGTGTGCCAACACAATCCCAAGGAGGCAAGACATCAACAATGCTGCCCATCAATCTGGGAAGAGTTATAAGGCCATTTCCAAACAATTTAAAGTCCATCATTCTACAGTGAGGAAGACTATTCATAAGTGGAAAACATTTAAGACTTACAGGAACCAAAACTTACAGGACCAATCTTCTTAGGAGTTCACCCCAAGGTCAGACTGCAATACTTGGAGAAATAAAAAAAAAATAACAAAACCCAAGAGTTACATCCCAGACTCTACAGGCCTCAGTTAGCATGTTAAATGTTAAGGCCCAGTATGATTGGTTTGGAAGGGTTGCCAGGAGATGGGCTCTTCTCTCTAAAAAGTGCATGGCAGCACGGCTTAGGCTTTAGTGCATCTGAACAAACCACAAGACGCCTGAACAATGTCATTTGGACAGATGAGACCAAAGTGGACATGTTTGGGCATAATGCACAGCGCCACGTTTGGCAAAAACTAAACACATCAGCACAAACACCTCATACCATTTGTCAAGCATGGTGGTGGAGGGGTGTTGGTTTGGGCTTGTTTTGCAGTCACAGGACCCAGGCACCTTGCAGTCATTGAGTTGACCATGAACTCCTCTGTATACCAAAGTATTCTAGACTCAGATGTGAGGCCATCTGTCTGACAACTAAAGCTTGGCTGAAATTGGGTCATGCAACAGGACAGTGATCCCAAGCACCAGCAAATCTACAACAAAATGACTGAAAAAAGAATCAAGGTGTTGCAATGGCGCAGTCAAAGTCCAGACCTTAACTTGATCAAAATGCTCCTCTGGTGGGACTTTAAACAGGGTTGTGCATCAACACATGCCCACAAACCTCAATGAACTGAAGCAGTGTTGGCCCACTTTTCTTTCTTAGTTATTGCTGCTAAAGGTGGTTCTACAAGCTATTGATTCAGGTGTTAGTTTTTCACACTTGGCTTCTTCATTTTACATACTACTGCGGGGTTGTTCTCTCCACATGCTCCTGTCCGTTTTTTTTATTTGATAGTACCTTTTGGACTTGTAGCCTTTCCATACACCGATCCTGTCAGTCTGCTACCGTGCCACAGGGACTTGTAGTTGGAATACAGAGGTGGTGGCATGACCGCACTCTAATCCATTCATACTTACTGTTGTAGAACTTACTGTTCCTGTAACTTGTAAGTCCATACCTCCAGTACAGACAGAGACCTTGAGGGGAAGTATGTAGGAGCCAGAACATTGCACCCATGATCCACTGAAGGTGGTTGCAATGCTTTACTTGCTCCAATGCAAAGCAAAAATGCAATACGTTTGTTTCTTTTATGAATGTGGCGAGTATTCATTATATGTTTGTAAGAGGTGGACTTTGCTTTTTTAGGTGTCTTATTAGGTATCCACTTTGATTTTTAAAATGGCTGAACCTAACTTGACCAGGTAATCCAGGCCAGAAACGTAGTCCTTTTTATATAATTTGTTGTTGATGACAAACTCCTCATTTTGTGCTGTTTTTACAGATCTGTTCCATAAAACAATAACATGGTATAAATGGTAGTACAGTACCCATGGCAGCCAGTAGAATTTGTCCTGCACTGGTCTGCCTTGTGCAGTGAAATACTTCACTTAATTGGCCAAAATTATTTGTATTGTGCCAGAAAATGTGTTAAACTTTACATGTGAAATGTAAATCGGTTTCCTCTATCCTCTTTTAGTAATGGAAATGTCAACCTCGACTGTCTGGGCTGCATCCAGGATAAAATCACTGTATGTGCTACAGATGACTCCTATCAGAAGGCGCGGCAAAGCATGGCGCAGGCTGAAGAGGAGAACAAAAGCAGAAGTGCCATTGTTATCAAAATGGGTAGCAGATATGGAGGCAAGTATTGCAAGATTTCCAGGTTTGAATTCTCCATTTCTGTTTACAGGATGTGTGGAAGTAATGTGTGGCGGCATCTTTTTGTGCGTTTGTACGCACAGATTCAGCGTTAATTTTTTTTGTACGTTTATGGTCATTTGGCACATTTTTATGAGCATGAAGGCGTGCCTTTTGACTGGCAGCTCAAGAAACATTGCAGTCAATGGACGAATGCGTGTGAAAAAGCACACGAAAATGTGCAATGTGCTTCTGCCGTGAGTTTCCTGGCGTTTCCATTGAAGTCTATGGGGGAAAAATGAGCTTGCAATTTCCCCCCCAAAGCTTGTACTACTACTTCCTTTTTTTTGTGTGTTTTTGGCGTTTTGCTGCTCGGATGTGAATAGGGGCCATTGAAAATCATGGGACTCATTGTGTTGGGCGTTTTTAAAATCGCTTTTTCTACTGCTCAAAAACACCTAAGTGATCCTGTTCTGTTGCCTTTCTGTTTGGTTTTATACAGCAGTAGGAAAAAAAACTGCACTGACTAGTATTTACACACTTGCCATACATGTAGGTAGTGTTAGAAAATTATCCATATCTAATATATTACCTCTCATGGTTCCGTGTGTGTGTGTTCCTGTTGTGTTAGCATTTACATGGGGCATATTTGCTTTTCTGTGAGGTCTTAGTACTTTTATGAGACAAGCAGATGTAGAAAAAAAAAGTGTGTAGTCAGAACTGATAGGACCACTGACATCACACCTAATGCAGGTCACCGTTCATCTGCATTAGACATGGATGCAGAGGGACATTCCATAGCCAGAGAGAGGTGACTGCTGCGGGGCCCGGTGGATCAGGTGAATAAAACTGCTTTCAGTTCCCTAGACAAAACAAGCACTTAACCTTTGCAGTGCGAGGGTAGCTCCACTGCAAGGGTAAGGTTTTGATTTTCCTAGAGTTCTTCTTTAATATGATGGTTCTTGAAATGAAACATATAGGTCCTATGTAGGATCTTATCAGACGTTTAGTAATGCAGATAAATTGCATCCCCTAGAGTCTTGCTACAATATTGCCATTTGGAGGTTGACATGTTAATCATTAGGCCCTATTCCCTTTTTAATTACAAAGCATAGTTTATTGGGACTGATGCATTCAATTACATGTAACAAACAAATCTAGTGTGTTTTAACTATTTGCCACCCACCTCTTGCATAGAAGCAGTCAAACGGCGCCTTTAAGAGTAGGAAATTTGGAATGTCCTTTTTTATGTGCTCATGTGTGTCCTCTAGCACGAGCAACAAGGCCTGCTACACAGTGACATCTAAATGGTAAGAAGTATTTTTTTTTCTTTAATTTTTTCAATATGTTGTGTGAATATGAACACACACACAATATACAGTAGTTGGGGTATTCAATTAGACTGGAAAAGTGGAAATACACTTTAAGCCTCATATGATGACAGCTTGGGGAACAAGATGCTTCATGTGACTTTGAGCTGCAGACAGCCCTAACTTTTGTTGTTAATATCTGGGTCTGTTTTTGCTGTTACCCACCCCTCCATTGAACTGCTTTTGGACATCCCAGTTGTCTCTGAATGCTGTGTCCCTCAGTGAACAAAAGAAATTTGGATTTTTGTCCTTACCATAATCCATTTCTTGGAATTGAGGGCCACAGGTCCCTTCTCTGCCTACGATCTTGCCCCTGGTATTATTACCCTCTACAAAACTGAGGCATGATGAGTGGGAGGTGTGACTATGAATTCTGCTCCATAGTTGGTTCTGTTAATCATATTTATTGGAGGGGGGGTGAATGTATTGAACCAATAATAATGGTTTATTACATTCCAAGAATAGTTATGCTGGTTACTGGTCAACAGGTCCTGCATTATCCACATTTGCTGTAAACAAACTTTATTTTTGTTCCAGCAGTCAAAAAGGTCCAAGTCCGAAAACCTGCTCCAGGAGTCTCCGATGTCGTGCCATCAAGGAAGCGGCAAACACCAGTAAATTTAGCTAGTGCGATCAAGAGAACAGCCACCAACATTTCTCAACGACCCTTCAAAGACAGGGTGATGCACTTACTAGCCCTTAAACCATACAAGAAGCCTGAGCTTATTCTACGACTGCAGAAAGATGGGCTTACCTTACAGGACAAAGATTCTCTAGATGGCCTCCTGCAACAGGTAAATGGCAGGGATGAGCAAATGTTCTTGGGTTCAATTTATGGAGGAGGGAGTTATTCTGGCCATTTTCAAGACTAATAGGCAAGGTATTGTAAAAAATGCATGGGTAGCTGGGCACTGACAGGGTGGACATGTAACACAGGAATGAGTGTCCTCCTTTTAATGTGCCTTTTGAGGGCAACATAAGAAAAAACTTGGGAAATCCTTTTATTACATGTTTGATGGATGCCTTTTTAAACTGAATTGTCTAAAAAGTTTGATAAAATGTCAATACTGAGCACACAAAAAAATCTTCAAAACCAGAACCCCACATTCCTTGAACCCCCTCCCATCTCCCCAATTCTTCCCAAAATATTCATACACACGCCATACGCTAGTTCTCCAGTGTTACCTGGGAGAAAAGTCAGTATAGACAGCCTTGAGATATTCATTGCGGTGGAGAAAAATTATTGCATACATGTTTTGGGGAGTTCTCAGTGATTTATTTTTTTCTTGAGACCAGTGATAAGCTGGCATACTTAAAACAAATATTTGTGAAGTAGAAGTTAATATCCGTTAATCAGGAGGTCTTCCGAAGCCTTTAAAACAGATTCCTTATTAAAGGCTAACTCGAATCCTCACTATACACAGACAGCCGGTGTGGTATGTTGATTAGGACTACCCTGAAAAATTGTTTATTCCTCAACCGTTTTCTCAGCAATAACCTATTTAAGGGGAATCCCTTGAATCATCGGCTGCATTTAGACCCAGCTATATCTTGTTGAAACAAGACTTTAACGGTCCCTGTGGAAGATGTCGCTGTATTCCCCAGTTGTCTTCCAGGACAGCATGTGAGATATGGAGGAACTTCCCACCAAACAGGAAACGCATCACCACCAATCACATAAACTGAGGAGGCTTCTCTGAAGGTGGTCTTTTAGCGTTTCCTCTGTCTGGAGGAGATATGTGATATGTGGCACCTCTTCAAATAAGACTTTTGCTTCACGTTTATACTGGTGTGCCAGTGTCCCTGCTTCTACTGTTATGTGACGGTCGCCATCCGTCGATCACCGCAGCACCTGACTGATTTTTTTCTGGAAACATGCGGTTTGGAGTGTGATGGGCTCATGGATTTACTCTGTCCGGAGGAGACACGTTGCCAGTGTGGAATGTTGGAGGGTTGGGAGATAGCTGTCACAAGCTGTGCTGGGTCCCTTCCTCCCCTTGCTGTATTGTCTTACACCAAGGAGGATTACTGGAAGCCAAGAGGTATCTTGGTTCCCCTCTCCCCTCATGTGCCCGTGGAGGGCCTTGACCTGATCTGCGCTCTTCCCCTGGCTAGGCTCCTTTGGCACAAGGCTAGGGAGGTCGTGCATTCCAGGCCTTGTTTTCAGTGCAGTGGAAGGGTAGGGCCCTGGCTTGTACTTCCTGACATATACTCCTCCCAGCAGAGGCCGTGAGGACGCCGGTTTGGGAGCACGTGCTGCAGTATGGAATCTTTGCAGTCGCAAGCTCCGGTGGATGCAGGCTCCTCAGTTACCAGCCCAGCTCAGGGTTCTTTTGTCATGGTTCTACCCTCCTGATGCTCCGACCTCCTGCTTATTCATAGTTGCATAGTTGGGTTGAAGAGACACATGTCCAACCTATAGAGACAAAAAAAAGGGCGTAGGGTGGCAGTGGGATCATTGATTCCTCCTCCCCGGCTAATGATTAGGTGATGCTCCTGCAGACCAAGGTCCCTGGAGTGTTCCTAGGAAGAAGTGTGCTGTATGTGGTACTAAGGCTCTGGCTAGGTTAAAACCCTGCCTATACAAGCATCTTTGCCAAGCATGTGTTGGTGTGCTTTTTAAGGATGAGTAAGCTTCAGCTTGTAGCAGCCTTTTGTCAAGGAGGAACTAGCATGTAGGTATGCACCAATACCGTTTTTTGGTATGGAGTATCGATATTTTTTTTTTTTCAGTACTCGCAGATACCTGAAGCCAGGTAGCGTGTAATGATTCGCCACCTGGCTTCCCAATTACCATGCTCCCTTGTCACCAGGTGATGAAGCACGGAGCTGGCTTTCTGGCCAATCAGGAAGCCAGGCGGCAAGACGTTACATGCTGCCCAACTTCCTGATTGGCCGGAAAGCCGGCTCCATGCTCCCTCGTCAACAAGTGACAATCGGAAAGCCTGGCAGGATGTAATGACTCGCTGCCTGGCTTCCTGATACCGGAGTTTCAGGTATCGGACTGGGTATAGGAGCATTTGGGCGAGTAAGAGTACTCACCCAAATACCCTGTATCGGCACCGATACTAGTATCGTTGCATCCCTACTAGTAACCACACTCCACTGTTTCAGATCACTCGTAGGATAATATGAAGGCTCTGACTGATACCCCTGCTGTGCCTGTCCTCTCTGGCATACAGCCGGCTAGGGCTGTGTTAGCTGCTGGGGGCGCGATATCGAGAGAGAGGAACGGCTACCTTACGACACTGATCGACAATCTTGTGTATCCACCTCCAATCTCTTGGGAGCAGTGGTACCCCCGCCATCTCCCGATTGGGTCTGCCCTCACTGGGGTCTAGGGCCTCCATTTTTTCCTCTCTCCTTCTTTCCTGTTCTTCCTCCCTCCCCCCTCGCCTTATGCTTTTACTCTTTCATCGTCTGAGCTGGGTGGAACGACTGGGACGCACACACAGACTCCAAGGACAACTTCCTTCTTCACCTCCTGAAGAAGCGCTATTTAGTGCGAAACGTTGAGAAAATCAAGCTCCTCCATCACCTCGCTTTATACTAATCATGTCATGTGTACATGAATTTTTCAATTATGTTTTTTCAATCATGTTCCATTGTATAAGATTCTGAATGTCATCTGTATATGAATCAACTTAATTTATGTGGAGTGAGCTTACAGGGGAATCATGTTGTCAATTTTATCAATTTCACTTACCTTTTAATCAAATAAAATATTTTTTCTAAAAAAAGTTTTGGTTTGTAAGTTGTCAGTCGGCTGCCCAAAAAAACCCAACTTTTCTAATTTTTCGACATACCAATTTCAGGGGTGTTGGCATCCTGTGCCTTGATCTAGGTCACTCCAATTTCAAATCAATTGCCTTTGTTGGTAACTGAGGGGGTTTCTTTTAAATCTGAACCTGAGGAGACCTAGCAGTTCGGACTCATCTCGGATAGAATCGTCGTCAGAAGACGTTGGTGAAAGGGAGGACTCTTCTAGGTTCTAGGTTTAAACTGTCTCTGGAGCATGTTGATTTGCTGAAAGCTATTTGAGACACTGGAGATTCAGGAAGAAAAGGTCCAACTTTCCAGGCATGATCTTATGTACCAAGGGTTACAGAGAAAAGAATTTACCGGTACAGAAGATTCTCTCTGATTCTATACTTAGAGTGGGCAGAACCAGAGAAAAAGCGTTTCTTGTCCAACAACCTGAAATGTAGATTTCCATTTGATGACGATCCGGCCTTAATTTGGAATAGGAGTCGTAAATTAGATGTCCCACTTGCTAACGTTTCTATAAGAGGTCTGAATTAGCCTTTGAGGAGATGGTTGAAAGACCCTATGGATAAGAAAATGGACATTCTTCTCAAGAGATTGGGATTCTGCGCTTTCTAATTTTAGGCCAGCTTTGGCAACTACCTGTGTGGATAGGAATCTGGAGTTCTGGCTTTTCCAGTTAAAAGCTCACCTGGTGCCAAGTTTACCCTAGAGAGCAATTATTATATTGTTTCCCTATGCTGTTTTAAAGCAGTTGGGCTTATAGCAGATTCTGCTGAGTCGGTTAGTATGTCTGCCAGATTTTTTACTCTTATAATTCTTCTTGTCAACTTTGTGGTGAAAAACCTGGGAAGGTGACTGCTTCTAAGCTTCGTTTGTGTAACTTACTTTTTTCCGGTGACTTGTTTTTTGGCCCCGGCTTAGAGGGTGGACAGGTAAATAAGGGTGAGGGGATGGGGAGTATTCTTTTGTCTTTATCCCCCTTCCCCCTCCTAAAACATTAAGTCGCAATGATCTGCTCCCTGTGGGGGGAAGTTTAGAAGGGTTCCTCCCATATTGGAGAAGTGTGTCCTTCAATGCGTTCATACTGAGGCTTGTAGAAGAAGGGTACAGGCTGGTCTTCGAAAACACCCCTAATAGGGAATGAAGTGACAGAGCTCCCTGAAGATTTGGTCAGAGCCAGATCACTTTGCCTCCTGTTGGGGGATCTGGTGGACCAGAATGTTCTAGTTCCAGAGGAGGAGCGTGGCGAAGGTTTTTTTCCCCCCATATAAATGTTTTTATTGTTTTATCGCATAGTACATCCAACAATACAAAACATCACACAATGTGGTGCGCAGACCAATATAACAATAAGAGGACATGCAGTAGTAATATTTAGGTACATCGTGGTACATATGCAAGGGGCGGTTACAGATTCCGGGGTAATCACATTTGTATGACAGTAGATCTGGGGAGACGGAGGTCTTCAGGTAATATTGGATTAGTTATACTTAATATATTTTCTTACAATTTAAATACTTAGCCTATAACCTTTCTAGGCTCCTGCCCTTATATTTGGGTTAGTAAAACATTCAGTACCGAGGATATTATGTTAGGAGGTTGTCGGGGTTTATTCCAAGTACCTTCAGGAGTACCGCAGACCCCGTAGATTCCGAAGGTGGTAGTAGATAGACTACCGCTAATGTAGAGTGGAACCAGCCGGGCAGAGCAACGACACCACACAACACAGACATGACAACATAAGGTGGGGGGGTACACTTAGGTTCAGATGGGGTTACGGCAGGCTGCAAGGGGGTCAGAAGGGAGAGAGAAGTGAAGAGCGAGAAAAAGGGGGGAGGGGGAGTCGGATCGTATAATGGTACTAGGGTGCGATATATATATGGCAGCAGTGGTGAGTTGGTTAAATAGAGCATAGACGGCGAGGGGTGCCCGGGTCTAAGTACTTGTCTATATCCATGGGGACCAGGTTTTTTCACATTTGGTCATTCTATTGCTAAGTTGCGCAGTTCGTTTTTCGTGGGCCATA